AGCATGTAAAGAACAACTGATGGAAGATGTACAGATGATGTATTTAATGTATGACTTTCATATTTTACTCTAAAAGAATAATTTAATAAGTTGGTTAACTTCACAATTCTTCGTCCACTACATCTATTCAATATACGTCATTCCTATTTTGGTTATATTCGATGTGAAATGTAATAAGTAGTGCAAGACCATTTTGAAAAGTCCTATAATTATTTACATTTGTTTATACATTATATATGGGAAGATGGAAGCAAAATTCCACTGGCTCCCCTATCTTATTTAGATAATGAAAGATAATTTGTGGTTATTAATCAATCAAAAAATTAGAGACATTTCGTTTGCCTACTGGTTGCTGTAGACTAGAAAATCAAAACATTGATTAGCAGATGAGTCGTCATTTTATTAAGTGAATCCCATATCATTGAATAAACCTTTAATTTAAATGATTAATTGACAAATTCGCGCCTAAGTTGTATGCTGCTATGTTTTCATAATGTTCTCAATTACAGATCAGATAAACTTTTGTAATGCTCAGTTTGACAAATGAACTAGTGTCACTCTACTGGACAAATAATGTAGTCTGTAAACACATTCTGAGTGTACATCTCATTTTTAAGATTTAGAAATAACTTTTATGAGTGATTAAGTTACCACTTTTATTGATAAACCAACCGAGATTCTGAAAGACATTAACATCATTTTCAAATAACGAGAGCTTGTGTTGTCCAGGAGACAATATACTGGATATAGTACTTCCTCAGGCATAACTGGTACTATATTGTTGATTATAATTCAACTGACCATCGTCCTAAGGAAAACTGTCTATTCTGTTTCGACATAAAAATTAACTGTGCTATTGATAAAATACTTGAACAGTAATATTTAATTGTTAGTGTCTACAAAATTCCTACATAAAATTAAACACCTCTAAACATGGGAAAACGTTTAATAACACTTTATACCTGTTAACTAATGTTTAGAGATATTGCTCATAATATTAAACCATACATAATTTTAAACTTACTGATAATTTACCATTGTTTATTTAGATGACCTCATATATAAAAAGAAAATTAAGGCACTAACGACCAATAAGAATGAACCGTTATTAACCTTAGACTGAACTAATATGTCTAGGCTAAGATGATATCAAAAAGGTCAATTCAATAGGTCTGAAACTGATTTATTTCAAAGCAGATGAATGGACTTATCACATATCATCAGATGAAAATATATTTATATATGAATTCATTTGCTATTGCTTGGTTGAATCTTCCTATTGTTGTTTAGGACTGCAGTTGATCAGTCTCTTATCGGCATATAGGCATACTGTACATATTGCCTCGATATAACTTTCATTCATAAGCTTTATACACAATGATAGTGGCTAGCAATGGAATCCAGAACGCGCGTTTCATCCTATTTGGGGCTTGTCGGTTGCATGTACCTGCATTTCAAAGTTGATGTTCACTCTGGGACTCGAATCTAGTACCTTTCAATTCAAACGCCATCGCGTTATAATTTAGTTCAACCGGGTCTGTTGGGAGATATCAAATCACTGAAAACATTGGTGAATGGTTGCTTAACTTCGTGGATTGGTTGAAGTTAGACATTAACACCGTTGGATGCCGGCCGGCTCAGTGGTCTAGTGGTTAAGCGCTCGCGCGCGAAACTGATAGGTCCTGGGGTTGAATCTCGCGAGGCGGGATCGTGGATGCGCACTGATGTGGAGTCGCATAATAGGACGAAACGGCCGTCCAGTGCTTCCAGGTTTTCCATGGTGGTCTAGCTGCAATTGACTCATAATTTCAACTATATAAAATATTTATTCTACAATTAAAATGAAATTTTGGAATAGATAAAAGATTCCCTGTATTAGTTATAATTATGCATGATAAATTAGCTCAGAAGCAACATTCAATGTGTTCTTTAAGATTTGGTAAACTCTATAGCTTCATTGATAAAAGCTGAAATTCAAAACAGAGCCAATGAGCAAGGCACACTTTTGAAAAAATTGTAATTATAAAGTTTTACTAATGTGTTATTTTTTTTATGTTTAAATGAAATCATAATAAAAAGCTGATTATTAACAGTAATTTTACTCACTAACGGTGTAGTGTATGATCACTTAAGTTAGGACAACTAATTTATTAGCCGTTCCAAACTACGAAATTACATAGTTCTACGATTAAATGTGACAGCTATACATTAAATAATTAATTTGCACATTTTTCATTGATTTTCCTTTGCATCTCTTCATGATTCTTCCAATTCTCGATTCATTTTTATTTTCCTTACTATTCTCTTCAGTTCGGTTTTTCAACCTTTTAACAAGCATTCCACTTCAGATCAGTGTTATATACTACTAGTGTCTGTCGATGTAAGTAGCATACACCAGAACAGTAACTTTAAGATGTCTTCTAATTTTAGTATCAAGTTTGTACTTATGGTAGATTAATTGGGTTTGGTTGATTCAACCAAAAGATATTCATTTATTTCATGATGTCTGTATTCGGTATTATATTTTAAACCAAAAACTTGAAATGGAATTTAGATAACTTTAATAGACAAGAAAATAATGTATTTGGTATCATTCGTTTTTATATGTAGAAACTGACGGATTTATTGTCTCGAGAACTCTTTCGATATGGTGAAAGTGACTTTCACTCAGATACTTGCTCTTAGTGTTATGGTTATTTTTACTTGAAAAGCTAAATTGTGGAAATTCAATAGTTACTTTAAACAAAATTAGCTCCACAAATAGATGTGATTCTTACATTATTCGATATTTAGCAAATTAGATTTCCTATTATTTGTTCCGTAACACTTTACCTTTGCAGATTGAGTTATTTTCATGCCTTGACGTTAGCCATTCTGTTTGATTAACATCGGACAATATCTTCAATGCATGTTTATGATAGAAAGATCGTATGGGAATAATGAACACCCCTATTCAAAGTATTTACTTCCACCGATTATTCAGACTATAATTCTTAGTATTGTGACAAATATAGTCAGATATTTACTGACTGAATATAGATACTTGAAGTGTCTGTAACTTTAATTAACAACTTAACATATGGTGTAAGAATGTTGATGATAATAAGCAGTAACTGAAATTTAATTTAAGCGTTTTTTTGTGAAAACAGTTTTATAATTGCGACTAAACTGTGATCACTTCACTTACAGACAAATGTTAGATATTTTTTAGACTATCAGAATGTACAAAATTTAATTGATTTTGTTTATATTGTTATTCGGGGTTGGTATTTACATATAAACTGATAGTGATTGTGGGTGGTCTGAAAGTCAGGAAGCTCGTGACGAAGTTAAAACTACATGGTAAAATAACTAAAGTTAGAAATAAGTACCATCCCCTTCTGATTCAACAATTCACAGTTGTCATTTTTATAGGATGATTTAAGAACTTTGATTTTTAACAAAGTTGTTTGTCAGCACGGCTGATACGTAATAATTATGATCTAAAAGCCTTATAGTTTGTGAATCTGTATCAGTCCTCGATGTCAAATAATTTAAATTCAATCTTTCCAGGTAAATGGAGAAGAAATTCTGTGCAAAAAGTAATGAGTTCCTAATTAATGAGTACGTTCGTTTGACAATATATGACAAAAAAATGTATTTAATACATAATTTATCACTGACAAATTGTCCAGGAAAATCTAAAAAGTATGATTCATTTATAATTTAGTTTGCTGTTCTGTTTACTGAATGAATAAGTTGACAAACCTATGCCACGATATAAACATTTTTATCGATTAAATTACTTAGTTTATAAAATGTAAACTCATGCACATGACACGAAAATACATATATTCTAGGTTTTCAACTAGGGTCTAACATTCATCATTTCATGATCTCAATAAAAACTCAACAATCTCTACAACCCCAAACTAAAAACTATCAGTTGCTCACATGTGACTAGCTTCGTTAGGTAATTCTCGGAGTTCTAGTGACCAGTGTAGTTGAGCCGTGTCGAGTGTGAAGCAGTTACCCACTGAAGACAATGTAAGGTGATCGCACAACATCGTGCACTGTTTGTATTTAGACATCGCTAGATGCCGGTTCAGTGGTCTAGATGTTAAGCGTTTGTGCGAGACTAAAGGTCCGAGGCTTGGATCCTATGTGTGGGATTGTGCATGTGCACTGACGACATGTTACATACTAAACAAAATGGTCATCCAATAATGCCAGGTGATCTAACATTGAATGGTTTCCCGAATTTTAATGTTGGTAAACGACAGTGATGTATTTCTGAATAATTTTATAATTTATCTTTCATTTATGTATTGACTAATTATAGCATTTTGAGATATTAGTTACTCTAAAATCTTTAGTTCTTGTAGACTTAAACCATATGAGTGAGTTCATTCCATAATTGTAGACAATAATAAACCATTACTGGGATATTTTTATGACTTACATAATAATTATTTCTTTACGAAGAAGAATAAATTTGTAACGAAAAGTATGCTACACTGAAGAACCTTTTAGTCTGATGGCTTTTACCTAAAATATACCTCACAAATATTCATTAAAATAATGATGTGGGGATTTATTTATCGATTGTAGTAAAAAGAAAATGTAAGATTAGTATATAATAGGAAAAAGGGGCTCAATAAGATGTTTTAACTCATGAAAATGTTTCCATAATGGGAACACTATACACATATCACAAGTACTTCATTAATTTTAGCTAAGACAATCGAGCACAATATGTAAAAAACCAAGGTTTCACGATATGTCGGCAAACTGAATTATCTTTTCAAGTTTCAAGCGATCGATTTCAGTTTTTTAACAAGCCACTTGTACATTTCTTTATAATATTTTTAATTATAGCGGTCATTTTTGACCTTGTAATTGTTTCAATGTCACAATTAAGTTGTGCATCAGTTATGACATAACAGTTACACCGATTTTTTCAAAAAATAAACAAATGAAGCAGTTATATATATATATATATATATATATATATCACTTACCTAATAACATGTATGACTTATCAATGAGATATGACAGCTAAATAAAAGTCCAATTAAGATACATTTGTTTTACTGTTCATTTACGAATGTTTTATGTATTTACTGAATTGAAACACAAAAGTATAACTGCATAAAGTGAAATGAATACTTAAAATGTAAGCTTAAATTTATCCATTTTAAAAAAATGTTCAGTATATCATTTCATCTGATTGGCCAATATAAATACACAAGGATATTATGCTTTCCACGGAAACGACCAATCATATTACAGAAATAACAATGAATATTTCCCATTTAAATAACATTTATACATTGTACATTATGTAGAGTCAATCCTTTGAAAATTTCAAAGTAAAACTGATAAAATCATTCTATAAAAGTTTTTTTTTCTACCTTTTTAAAAATAAAGATGTCTTCAAAAGTAGTAATTAATGTATGAATCATCATAACAAGTGCCTAGGGCATTTTAAAACGAATGATGTATATATATACATCTTTTTTTATTGTCTAATCTGTTGATTTCAGAATTGTTCCTTGTTCATAGTTTTCAAGCCTGAAAATAGATTAATTCAATTTTTTTTTTAATATCAATAATGTTAATTTGATATGGGTAAATTTAAGCATAAAGCCTAGTTTACACATGAAAAAGTTCATTCATATAATGGGATGTAAAAAAAAATAACGTTGAGGACATTAAATACGGAGATTAACTTTGATATTTATGTACATTGGTCATGGTAACGTAAATTTAGGTAGCCATATTGATAGCATTTTTTACTAAACATTAAAAAAAACAACGCTGGGAAGTAGACTATAGAATTTTAAGCTAATGACCATTAATTAGGTCTACTTATTTTCAATGAAACTGACTATTTTAAAAAAAAAAGATTTCTATGGGTTCTTTAAGAGATAAGTGAAATGTAACTGAATTCACCGATATGTACAAACGTAACAAACCTTGATGATCATAGAAATTAGCATTTCAATTAGTCTACGCTTAAATTAAATGTCTACTTTCTAATTATTTTGTTTACAATGAAGCGTATATGATTAAACTGAATAATTAGTTAGTTAGTCGCACTGGATTAGCGGTTTTTTTTCTTTTTGAATTTGTGGTTGCGAAAATAATAGGTTCAAATAGATCATTCCATGTAGAAGTAAACATAAGTCAACAATTTGATGACTGATTCATATAGATAAAACTGTCTATCAAAGTGTTCAACGACATTGGTTAAAAAGTCAAGATATAATTACTGTCATATAGAAAAAATTCTATCTCTTTGTGAAATATTCAGTTGAAAAAATGGAAGAGATTCACTAAATGCAAAACAAATTGTATCACGAACTGATATTACCCTAAGTAACATTAAATGTCAAAATGAAAAGAAAAACAAACTAAAAAGTCGATAGGATTCGATCTGCTGACATACATGACATTGATTACCACATAGTGATCAATCAGTTGTAAAAGTAAAAAGTTACTGCTCACTAACAAACAAACACAATTAAAACGTGCAAGTCTCGCGATTAAATTATAATTTAGCATAGATTTGTTTATTTGATAAATTCTTAAAATTCTAAGATAATACCATCAATCAAAAATTGACGAACACTTAATAAGGAGGTTGTTTGTGGGGATTTTTTAGTAATTTTTTATATATAGTTGAAATCATGAGTCAATCGAAGCTAGACTATCATGAAAAACCTGGGAGCACTGGATGGCTGTTCCGTCCTATTATGGGACTCCTCAACAGTGCACATCCACGATCCCACACTCGTGAGCGAAATTAGAACCCAGGACTGTGTTAATGTCTAACTTCAACCAATCCACGAAATTGAGCAACCATTCACCAATGTTTTCAGTGAGTTGATATCTCCCAACAGATCTGGTTCAACTCCACTCGTGGATGAGCACCGCTGAGGAGTCCCACAATAGGACGAAACAGCTCTCCAATGCTTCCAGGTTTTCCATGGTGGTCTAGCTTTAATTGACTAATGATTTCAACTATATATAAAGAACACTTGATATGTTTGAATTTTAATATATCCGAATTCGCAACTTCAACTTTGTTAATCATTTTCAAATTCAGTAACAAACAGACACAGAATTAGAATCTCCTCAACAGGTAAAACTCAACTAACATTGGAAGGTTATTACCTAACTCAATAGTTTCCTATCAATTTTTTATATAATACAATAATGTCAATTATATAATTTTGTCTCATTCTTCTTCACCTATCATCAATAAGACAGTTTTAATTCAACTTTGTTAGTTATTATAGTTTGCAGTGTCATATGTTTTTAGTCTTTTAGTTTAGGAGACCATTTTTTGATTACATGATTGACAGATGAACATAATTATCCATAAATGAGATTTCTATCCTTACTTCTTGTCGCTACGGGATAACATATAGTTTGAGGAATGTAAATATATGATAAATATCTGATATAAGGAAAGAAGTCTGAAGTGAAATTACAAAGCAGGATTAGATAAATAATGATTTTTTAAAAGAAAGATTTTTTCTTGCATTCATTGTATAGTTTTATACCTAATCAACTGTCAAACAAAGTACAATAATGTTTAAACAATCATTGTAGATTTCTGTCAAACGTGTACTTGTCAATCATTTACCTATAATATATTTTTTTCAATGTTGAATATGAAGCTAGATTTGGAAAGAAGAAAATTCGCAGGGACAAAAGTATTTTTTGATGCCAAGGGTTAAGAACAAAACAGACTTTAAATAAACTATACAACTCTTTTTTCACCAAAGTACTTTACTACAGTTTTCTGTTGTATTTATTTCGAAAAATTAACTTTTTTATAGTTGAAAGCATGAGTCAAATGAAGCTAGACCACCAAGGAAAACCTGGAAGCACTAGATAGCCAACTCGTTTTATTGTGGGACTCCTCAGCAGTCGCATCCACAATCTCGCCTAGTGAGATTCGAACCCAGGATCTACCAATTTCGTGCCAGAGCACTTAACTGATAGACCACTGAGCCGGTTAATGTTAATGTTAATGTCTAACTTCAACCATTTGTCTTCAGTGACTTCCTATCTCACAACAGACGTGGTCTGAACTCCACTGGTCACTGCTTCCCACTAGATCTCCAGGGATTATCTCTTGAAGTCAGTCACTGGTGAGCATATGAATGAATTACGAAACTTCGAATACGATTACCATAGTACTTTTCTTCAGATTGTACATGTCAATGTATTTGGTGTTAATAAATACACCTGATTAAAGTGTCTTAATCAATTAAAAAATATATTAACGACATGTAAGAAAGACTTTGAAAGGTTGCTTTTCAACCTATTTTGTTCTGATAAATAGATCCTATAGATTATTGTATTCAATGCACGGCTTTTAATTCATTATAACTGAATTTGGTTAAACTTACTAATGAATAATTATTTTTGCAATCAAAATAACATTTACAAATCATTACCAACCATTGTTCAAGCTAATAATTTCATTTTAATAAGCGTTTGCTAGAGCAGATGTGAAAGCACGAACTGGGTAACAGAGGATAGTGTTCATACTACTGAAAAATATCTGGGACTCAAAACAACTACCAGGCAACATGTGTCAGAATTCTTAATATAAACGTCATGACAGTTTTATTGTGTGGAGCTAAAACTTGGAGAACTATTACAAACATCATCAAAAAGGTACAGATATTTATAAATATCTGTCTAATTAAGATGCTCTATATCCGTTGACAAGAACCATCAGAAACAACCTATTGAGGGAGAAGACAAACTAGCCTTTAGTTAAAAAGGAAACCAGTTAAGGACGCTGGAAATTGATAGGACACATAAATTGCATCATAAAGTATACCCTAACTTGGAATCCTCAAAGTAAAGGGAAAAAGAGAAACCAACAAACACTCATCTTCAGGAATAAGAGTTAGGCATCGAAGAATAAACAGCACTTGACGAACCCGTGACCGAGGAGTTTGATCGGTGGCCTATAGCTCATGAATGGTAACAGGTGTAAGTAAGTATGTAAGTAAGAGTTTAGGAAAGAAATAACTGACTTTTGACAGCAAATCATGTCAAAACCTACCTTATACTTTTCTCGTAGTGAGTGATCTTATTATGTATAGGCTGAACCCTTCAAATACTATACAATATTATGTTTTCCTCAGAATCATCCCTAACGAAAACGTTAATCTAAATTCTTGCCAAATATTACGTTCTAAAATTTACTGTCTTAATACTGGTACTTAGTTGTTCTTCACTTATTTGAAACACTATGTACATAGTATGTATCAAGTTGAGAGAGTGTGGTGATGAGCGTCGATTAGCATGAAACATAAGTTTGGATTTTTTTACTGACTACATCTAACCATCTAAAATGATATCAGCGTTATTTGATTGTTTGTAATAATTTTAACGGTTGAATTCTTAAGTCCATCTAAGCTAGACTACCATTTAAAAACTGAATGCACTGCATGACTAGTTCGTCTTAGTATGGTACTTCTCAGCAGTGTTCATCCACAAAAATACATATAAGTTCCAAGAATATTTTCCACTTTGCGAAAACTATATTGTTAACTGAACAATTTACAAAAAGATTAATTGATTTATTCGTACGGTTGCAAGCACACCGAACTAATGCTACTGAGTTCAAATTTCGGTCCTAAACATCAATGAGAAAATCCAAACAACAAATAAATGTGAACTAAAATTCACAAAATGTACAAGTGGATAGAGCGATGGCACTTGAAGCGAACGTTAATGGGTTCGAGTTACGGAGTAAACATCAACTCTTCAATGCACATACACATAGCTCATGAGTCCTAAAAGAAACGAGACGAGAGTTCTGGATTCTACTGCTAGCCATCATCCATCTCTGCTTAAAACTCAATCACTTAGATGAACATAATTTATAGAATAACTTCTATAGTCTTTATTACTTCTAAACACAAAATATGTATTCCAACATAAAGTATTTTATTATTTTATTTAAACACATAAATATTGGTACAAAAGGGGTACCAGATATATATGCACCACACAAATCTCATTTGATTTGTGTGAGGGCTGTGACACTGCCCGGATGCCAAAACTGAAGGAGGTGATTTTCTCAGTGGACACACCTGGAGCCTATAACCTAAAGGTCTGATCCACAGAGCAGTGGAGCATCGTAAGGAAATGGTCATATGGTAGCCGGTGACCAACGATTGATTCATACGCCATTTGCTCCCTCAAGATACTGGAGTCCATGTGCACCATTGGTTTCGAATCAGGGTTTTCCAAACTCCCCAAATGGACTTTCCGTGTCCACCAACCCGGTTACAGCTCCGGACATTTGCTTTTCGTCCTCTCAACTTCGTA